AAGCAATTGAGCTACAATAAAGCTAACATTTTTACACTTCCCACCAATTAAAAATGGGTTTTTTTTTTTTTTTTTGCTTCTTTCAGGAAACTTAAATGTAATCTCAAGGTTTTATAGTTTTCATTAATATTATAAAGATAGAAACATTAACCAACCACGTACATCAGGATTTGCATTTAACTCGTGAAACCTGCTGACCAACTCGGATTCTGCCAGTTCCTCAGGGAGGTCCACATCAAAAGACTTAATTCCAACTTCAGGACAAGCTTTTCTCTTCATTCCCACATAGCTTTGAGAATCTTTCCTGTTCCCAACAATTACCACAGCTAGCCCTGGCACGTGGTTAGAATAATATCAACTTTCCCAGTCTACCCATAAATGAAATGAAATTATTGACCTTTTGCCATATCAAATTCAAAGACACTAGTTTATAAAGAAATGAGGAAAAAAGGAAGGTAACCCTTACCTTGCCGTATTTCTGAGAGAGTTGGCGCACCTTGTCGGCAATTTCAGATCTTATTGTCTGAGCGATGGCTTTGCCGTCGATAATAGTGGCTTCGTGATCAGATGGAGAAGCCATTTGCATGATAGATTGCGGTGGAGAAGAGCAGCCTATGTTTTGGCAACAAGTTCAAGAAAAACACGTTATTACAAAGGACCAATTTAAAAAGGCGCTTCGATTAAGTTGCGGCAGCTGCCGACATTTGGCATTTGGCATTTTGGATTTTGTCTGTCAGGCAGGAGGATGACCCGCCCGCCCTCTTTCATTTTTTTTCCCTTATTTATATTAGTAGCTGAAAGTATTTTGGGTCGGCCAAGCGGGTCAGGCGGAATTGTCATCTTTAATTCCAATTTCGGGTCTAGCTTATTCAAGCACGTTCATTGAGGTTCGATATTATTTAAATATTAAAAAATATATTGAAACTATATATGAAAATATGGTTTTCTTAAGCTAGGGGTTGAGTCTAAGAACTTTAAAGCAATGCTCTGCCCGAACTTGATTAGTTGATTATGAACTCTAGAATTGCAACAAATTCCTTCTCTTCTCTTCAATTCTTTTCGTATGTTAAAAAAAAAAAAAAAAGAATTTCCGAAAGTATTTTAGGACATCAAAAGTATATGCATATATATATATATATATATATCGCTACATTTCATTTACCCCCCACCCCCCCAAAAAAAAAAGTAAACCATAGTTAACAATATACAGTTTGTCTTTCTTTATTTCAATAATTGATATTGAGCTTGTTGCTCCATCATCGAAGTAAAGCTGCGTTTTGGTGACAACTTTCTTGATGTTTTTAGCTTAACTTTTTTAACAAAATATTAAAGCATATATATATATATAGTTACAATATTTGCATGAAACACCTCCAAAACCTAGCTAGGTGTGGCTCCATGAACCCAAGAACATCATGGTTCTAATGGGGTCTTCAGTGGAGTAGCTGATCCCATTTCGTCTCTCAATTTCTTTGGAAATCAGAATCCTATGCCCTCTTTGAACCCCATTCCTAACCATAGTATCCATGGCCGCCTGCCACGCTTGCTTCAACCTTTCCCTGATCGTTCCCTCTGATTCACCTATCAGAGAATTATCACTGCAGAGGCTTTGAGGCTTCATATATGCTTTTACTGTTCTTGTGACTTTAGGCTAAGATATTAGAACTATAGATAGAACAAATGTGGGTATATATGGCAAAACTAAAGGCAAGATGCCATGGATTGTGGGTGGTAGGACCATTTTCCTTTCAAGATAGGATAAGATTCCTTATGCTTGTGTGACAGATCAACTTTGATGGTTTCGTGGCCCAAATGGTGTGAACTATTTTCCTTTAATCAAATTTATCAATTATTTCCTTATCGATTTGTGACCATTTTGTCATTGTTTATTGGTCATATTGGTATTATAATCAAGTAATAGAAGAAAAAAGAAAAGAAAAAGCAATACATAGATGACACTACGAACAAAAGAAAATAAGTAGAAATATCTCATATCATCATATTCTTTTTTTTCAATAATTTTTTTTTTTGCATCAATCATAAATAAATAGGATCAAGTTAATAATTATGTAGATATACAAGTATTCCTTATAAGTATTTTTAAAAAGTGACTTTTAAATATGCCATATAAGTTTATTAGAAATAAAAAGAAAATGCAATTTTGCATCTAACTATTCCATTTGTGCAATGCAACATGTTTTGTTCTTATCCATGTGCTAAGATGCCTCTTAAAATTCGAATTTGCTTTTTGGAGTACCTAAACCTAAAGATTCCAATGTTGTAAAAACGACAAAACATTTGTGGGTAGTGGATAGTAATCGCATCAAATAGGAAAAAAAAAAAGTTATTTTATATCATGATTTCATGAACTTGAAGCTGACAGGACAGCCGTCCATAACAATTGTACAAAATATAAACCACTTAAAATGTGGTCAATCATGGTTTGTATTCTATCGGGACCAATACCCATTTTCTCGAAAGGAATTTCCTTTTATTTTACCAGATTATTCCCTTGGTAGGGCACTCTGGAGCCTGTGATTTTACATTTCGGTCCAACGAGAAGCCCGTTGCACACTAGCTGACCCCCTTGGTGTTTCAGAAAGGTAAGAAAAATGTCCAAAAAATATGGACTTGGAAAAACAAGACAAGGCTTAACACCGAAGCCCAATCCCTCTAACTATATATCATGGGCTTTCACTTGTATGGGCTTTTTTATCATCTTAGTTCTAGCCCCAATAAACAGAAATGGGCAAATCATTATAAATTTGCAACGGTATGTGCTAACTAATTAATAATAAAAATTGGCTTTGAATTCTTGCACTTATAATTTTTTTATTTTTAGATTGGAAAAATGGATACAAACTTTAATAATGATAAATTTTTAATAGTAATTAAACTTATGAATAATATGTACCTTTTTAAATTATAAATTTATAACTAACAATAATAGAAATTACATTTCAAAAATAAAATAATAATAAAAATTACTTATGTAATAATATATCAAAGATTTACGCAATACAATTCGATTTAATATTTTTATTCCAAAGCTCATCATTTCCAAAGCACTGAACTAATTAAGAAATACTAAATAATTTTTTTTTGAAATATCTTAATAAATATCATATTGTTCATGGAAAGGAGCAAGGTTCCTAAACAAATATCAAGAAGTATTAAGAAATCAGAAATATGTCAAATATGAAAAGAAAATAGTATGAAAGTGCTCAAATTTCTGAAAATTTTTCTTTTATAATTTACCCAAAAATTTTTTAAAACTAAAACCTTAAAAGGAGGAGAACTTTATATATATATATATATATATATATATATAGAGAGAGAGAGAGAGAGAGAGAGAGAGAGAGTAAGGCAGATTACGAATCAAATTTAAAATTTTGGTTCAAATCTCACTTTTTTTGTTGTTCGATTGTTATCATGTATTGATGTGCTATCACCATATTATAAGCTGGGATGCATTGATTGTTGTTGTAGAATTGATCTTTATTGTCCTATTTGATTTCCATCAATCTTTTGGAATTAATTATTACAGTTATGAAATTTATTCTTATCCATAAACACACCAGAATGAAATTCTATGTTGCCCATCAATTGAGACATATAAAGCGTGCGACAAAATTTTTTTTCTTGTCTAATAGCTTTTCTGTTTTGCTTTTTTTTTTTTTGGCGAATGAATGATTAACCATAAATAATTGCAACATCATCTAGATTGAATAAAAATCTAGGAAGACATTTAAATTCCCCACCGCAAGGTTTCACCATGAAAACTCTTCATTAGTACCTTACGAGAAATCGGTGATGGATTTAGAATATTTTTTAGAATTTTTATTTATAAGATATAAATTATCATTAAATTTATCAATTTTATCGATGAAAAAAATGATAAAATTTAATAAAAGTTTTTATTTTTTAATTTTTGAAGATGTTCATGACCCTATTTCAAAACATGGATCTGTATCTGCTGGAAGTTAATAACCAGGAGAGACAAAGGGTCTCAATATATCGGTCGGTGAGAGACAGAACAAAGCTATGGAAATGGAATGTGTCTGCTTTTGAACTAGCTAGATTCCCTTTGCACTGATTTCTCCTTTGTTATTATGAACTGTCCTACATTTGCGTCCCTGTTCATTTCCACTATTCTTTCACATCAAAAATCTTAGGATATCTTCATTTTGTCCTTTCGATTAATCTCCAGAATTTTACCGCATCTACCATCCCATTTCGTCTCAGCTCAGCATGGTGTTAACTCATATAATTAGCAGTACTTCTTTTATAATCATTTCTGCTGGAAGAGGTTAGAGGCATGCATGCATCTTCATTCAAAGATTTGCTGAAAGTAAGTGAATATTCCAACAAGCTGAATTTCATGATTATTATTTATTGCATTAGGAATCTTGGTTTCTTAGGTACAGGGAAACAAGCAAGCTCTCTCTCTTTTGATAATTTTTAATATATATATATATATATATATATATAGGGGAAAAAGAACAAGAAAAAATATGGACTTCGGAAGAGACAAAGGTGGGTGCTTTCGAGATTTTATAAATCATTTTCTAGTAAGAGGGTCCCAAAAATCAACACTATGTTATCATCCCATCTCCGCCATCTAAAAGGTGTAGGGCAAAGTTTTGAAAGATAGTAGTAGTAATCTTCTTTATTGTGTGAAAGGAATGGAAGCAAAGCTATCAACTTAAAATTCTGGCTGATGCTAATCATAGTGGATTAAAATATATATATTCTTCTGAACTTCAATCCTAGAAAATTTTTTATTAAAAAAACATAGATTTTTCTAGATAAATCCAAAGGAAAATAGGGGGGGTGAAGCTTGAGAATCATGTTGATCTATGCTTCATGATTATATAATATTGCAACTTGCATGCATGTGAATATGCGGTTTGTGGGATGGTATTGTTATGGGGTTTGATCGACAATGAATTGGCATATGCGTTGGTGAGAGGATAAGTATATCTATATATTGTATTATATATTCCCCAATTTCCCTTTCACGATATGAAAAGAAAGTATAATCCACCATGAATATTCTGCATCAGAAAAAAGGTAGGTAAGATAGTGGGAATGAGATCTGTATATGCTAACCATTTAGAAAGTTATGATTGGGGTTGGAGGTTTTCTGTTTTTGATAATTGAAGCAAAAGCATGTTTCAAGTTGTTCGTGAGAGCTGCTTCTTACCCTTCACTTACTTTTATATTCTTGTTATGTATGGTGCATATCCAAATTTAAACATGGTTCTTTCGAGGGTTTGATTGCCTTAGCTGAAAACTTGGGTCTTTGGATAAATAAAGGAATATATAGTACTACTACTTACTGACAACTTATCACAATTTTCAACATAAAATAATTCACTGATTCAGTTCAGGTTTTTCCGCTTAAATTTTATACGGGAAAATGATAAAGAAAGAGAGGGACCAACATGGACAAAGATCTTCTTGGCACATAAGAAAGAGGGAAAGGTTGAGATTTTTCAGGTCCTACAACTACAAAGAGCAAAATTCCAAACCCCTTCAAACCCCGATGAAAAGTAAAACCAACTTTTGATTTCTCCCTAACAAAGTAGTACTAAAATTAATTATTTTTATTTGCATCTTACAAAATTAATCCCTTCCTGTCCCCTGATATCCATTAACAGTACAAATAACATCAAAATCTACATGTACTCGTTTTCTTCAATATTTTGTTCACATGATTGAGCAACCACTTTCATCACGATCGTAATCACCATCTTCATTGAATTCATCAATCGGATAGGATGGTGGAGGTGGTGGTCCGTACGCATTAGGATGCATGGTAGGGGTATAATATGAAAAGCTTGAGCTAGGATGAGTCGTTTTGTAACTTACGCCAAACGATGGAGGTCCATAGTACATAGGTGCGTACATAGGTGCATATGGGTACATAGGGTAATTTGGAGGCATCAGATTGATTGATGCCATAGGTGGAGCCTGTTCTGGAAGAACCAGAGCTGATAGAGTGTCACCGGATGCATCACCGTTGGAACCAGTGTTACCTTTCTGCCCTTTCTTTTTCTGCTTTTTACCTCCATTAACACCCCCACTTTCGGCAGTACTGTCTGGTTCCTGGCTTACACCTCCCATTTGGTCCCCAGCTGGAGGCTGATCATCTCCAGCAGGGCCTTTACTAGCACCGGCACCGCCATTTTTGGCAGCGGCTGATGCAGGCTTCTCTGTTGATTTATTCTTGGGGTCATGATCATCACCAGCTTCTTCGTCGTCTTTTTGTTTCTCATTGTTATTTGGCTTCCCAGGCTTTTTCTCTTTCTTTTCAGGCTTTTCTGGCCAAAGTTCAACTGATTTCCCTGACTTGTTCAGCTTCTTGATGAGCGTTTCCGGATCCACGCTGCCAGTGACTGTCACCTTGTGCTGTTGAGAATCTATGGTCGTCTCATAAACACCTGAAAAAAGATTAAGAACGCAAGGAAAAGTGAATAGATTTTCCATTGGTTTTCAGTACTACTTACTATTTAATATGGAATTAAAGAGAGTAGGATATAAATATACCATCAATGGCTTGAAGAAGTTTCTTGACTTTCTTCTTGCATCCTTCGCAATGAATTAAGACTTTAAAGACCCATGTCTAAAAACAGTAAAAGACGGCCGGGGGAGTCAGCTAATTTAGAAATATTAGCAGGATAAATTCTCATTATAAATTCTATACATATATGCACGGTGCTCACCTTATAATTCAGTGCTCCTGCAGCATCATCTTGATCAGCTGCTTTAGTTGCCATCTCACAGAGAGAGAGAGAGAGAGAGAAGGAAAGGAGTGCTGGAGAGCGGGGGCGAAGCGAACGTCTTTAGAGAAGAGAATGAGAAAGATTGGGAGTTAAAATAGTAGTGGTAGTATCAGAGAAAAAGCAATATTATTTGGTGTGGATGCCACATCACCTTTTCTTCCAATTTCTGCTTGCTTGTGAGAATAATCACGTGATTTTATATTTTGTATGGCTTTCTTTCAGCTGTTAAGCTAGCCTAATTAGTTTTTGAACCATTCATTTATTTGCGGGTCACAGTAGATGCCACACGATTTTTATCCCACCAGATTACCCTCCAGGGTTAGGCTTACCTTACATGCCCCCCACCCACAACAAACTTTTGCAGCAAATCCAACTGCTGAACGCCCAAGCGGCGAGCCAGCAACAAAGCCATTCAGCTTACGGCGCCAAATGATAGCATTTGTTCGTATAAGCCTAAAGGATAGTATTTGCCTTTGCTCACTGCCTGTCCCTTTGACGGGTATCACAAAATCACATGCAATGTTGCATTCCAGCAGGCCTTTTTTTCTTTTTTGGATGTTTTAGATTTAGAAAACTCCTTTAGAATTCTCGGGCAAAATCCTTGGTGGAATTACCTTTTTGCTGCACTTTCGATTGGGATTCTAGAATTCGAAAGAAACAAAAGTTTTATAGTAGTATATTATCATCGAATGAAATTATTGAGTTCCTTTCTTTGAACAAGGCGCGGACAAGACATAATCCTAATCTCGTTTTACCCCTTCCCAAGCTAAACGTCCAACTTTAATTGCGACTTTTCTCAAAGCAAATTCAATTGAAGAAACACCCTGATTAATTTGGTGCATGCCTCTGTACTGTCTTCGAACTAACAAGTCTGATTTACCATCAATTCAATTAGAACAACCACCATCGCATTTCTAATTTTTATTCTGAATCATCTCATTCATGGCAGTTCACCATCTCCAACTACCATAATGAAACCACTGGCTATGACAGGATTTGTATTGAGTTGGTATACTCAGTAATAAGTAAGACTCTTCAACACGGAATAAATTGACGTTTAAAAACATTCCCCAATCACCCAATTAGTCTGATTAGCCATCAATAATTCAAAATAATCCCCTGATAACTCTGTTTAGTCTCATATATCAGCAAATTTTTATGTTTCATGATCTAGAAAGGGTAGTAAAAACCCCACATATATAAGTGTTATCGATTGGTCGTTAGCGGCTGGTAGGCAGAGAACATTATAATTTGCCATCTTTCCTCCCTAAAAGTATTTATATTGTTCAACAATCGGCCAGATTCTTTTATTTCACAAGAAAGTACCAAGCAAGTTTTCAACCGAATTGGCAACTTGAAGTTGCATCTCTAAATGGAAATAAAACGAAAACAACTATCAATAAGCAATTGGCACTTGGCATATATTTTTCCCAAAAATGAGGACAAGAAACTTTCATGGACTTTCTGAAACAGTACGCAATACTCTAATAAAAACTTATCCCCCACTTAGTTTAAGCCAATGGCTCTGCCAGGCTTTTATGGGTAGTGTGACTCGTGACAACACTTGAAACTCACAATAGGTCTTGATTTTATGTCCTTTGTACAATACTGTTGCAAAAGGAAAATGTTTAATATCATTAAAAAGTCTCAGTTATCAAATCTCAAAAGAAGAAATCAATAAAATCTAACAGCAACAATAACCTTAATGCGGTACACAACCTCACTGAGGGCTACTTATCTCAGGAGTGGACCACTCATCAATAGCAAAGCAAAGCCGGAAAAAGTTACATTGCTAAAAATATTAGTCGTCAACTTGACCAAATGAAGCAGCAGAGGATAAGTCAAGGCAGTAAATTGTGAAATTGGGAAGTATAACTCAATTATGGACCATCAGGAAAGATTAATGCAAAGTAGAGGAAGATCAAATTATAAAACTAGGCAATTAAAAAATGAATTAAAATAATATAGTCGTAAAACTTGAGTATGTTCTTTAAGTAATAGCAGATGAATCACAAGCATTTATCATGGTGGAAAAAGTAACTTACAGAATCAATCTTAGAAAGCTATCAGCAGCCAGGGATGCAATGTGCTTGGGTTAACAGCAACTAAGTTATCAGTTCCCCTGGAGAATTATGGGACCAGGCTACCTAAAATACTTTTCCACTACAATCTATGAAATCTCTGCAGCCTGGTGTGAATCCGGTAAGGCTGCATTAGCAACGAACAAGTATCTACTTTCATGGTCCTAAAACATTAAAAGGAAAAAAAGAAAAAAAATCTACCAACAAATTCCTTACCAATCCTTTCTAGAGTATGAAAATCCTCAGAACCAAGTTCAAACTTACATCAGAAGTCCTTGTCTCAGTAACAATATTGTCAGATACAGCATCTAAAAGTATTAAATGATTATTCATACAAAGCAATTTAAACAGAAAGTTAAATGGTAAATCTCACTTTCTTGGTATAAAAATCATTCTTTTACACAAAAAGCCACTTCAATATTTAAGGGCAAGCAATCAAAAGTAAACCAACTGCATTCTACATTGCCAAGACAAAGGTGGAGTAGTGAATTCTGATGTATTAAATTGGAAAGGAATAAGTGTCATTCATCTTATTTGCTATCATATGAAACTACAACATCACTTCCTGCCATCAAGAATGGACAAGGGTTATAACCAATTTAAAACCACAAGTTGCTGGTGATTGTAGAACCTATCAATCAGTAAAAATTTTCTTGCCACCAAGAACAACTATTATAACACCAAGAAGAGCTGACAAGGCTCCATCCCTTGAAAGCCAGAATTCAGTCCATGTCAAGGGCCTTTTGACTTGCGACAGTACCTCCCTGAACCTTTCCTCCAAGTCCTGAAGAGAACCAGTGTTATCTAATACCATGTCTGCTTGGCTCCTCTTCAAATCTAGAGACATCTGAGCATTTATCCTATTTCTGGCATCCTCCTCTGTTGAATTATCTCTTTCAATAAGTCGTTGAAGTTGTGTTTCAGGATCAACCCATACAACAACAATGGGTTTTGTCCACTTATCCATCTTGGCCTCGAACAATAATGGAATGTCAAGAACAATTATCTTATGACCTTCTATCCAAAGCTTCAGAATTTCTAAAAAGATGCCAGAAGTTATATAGGGAGCCAATAACCTACAAGAAGAAAATTAACCACATTTTCAAAATCAATACAATCTGCAATTTTAAAACAAGGTAAATGGTGACGATATGTAACCAAGACTCCATGCAGATTACCTCCAGGCGTAAAGGAGATAATATTACCAACATTTAGCCTGGGTAAACTGACACGCTAAGTGACAGAATTTGATCTTCAGACTTAAGGATCAGAGGGTAACATAACTTCCAACTGCCTTTAAATCGTTAAAAGCAATCTCCTAGGAGATCATGACATCAATTTGCTATAGCATCAGCACCATACGGGAGTAGTTGAGAAAACCATGTATATAAGCAACTTAAAGAACACCAACTTTTACATTAAAAAGTCGACTAAATTTTGCATTTTGAAGGTGAAATCCCGACCTCCAAGACTACCAGAATAAGAATAGTGGAGAAATAATGTTTCTAAAGCTATTCCCAATATTAAGCCCACTTAAAAATAAATTAAAAAGGGAAATTTATAGAAAATTTACCGATTAAGGAGTTGACGTTTGGAGGCATCAGGGAAGACGATTCGACCCAATTTCAAACGATCGACTTGTCCATCATCTTGTAAAATGTCCGGCCCAAATGCGGCCACCACCTTTTTATACCCGCCGGTGCCCTTCTTCAACACATCCTGCAAAACCAAAATTAACAGTACTAGTGAAAAATGTAATCTGTAATTTTATCAAACATGTGGTAGACCCAAAAAAAAAAACAAAAAACGAAAAGTAGATGAAGAGAGGGAAGGTACACGAGCGATGACATCCGCATCGACGACGGGAATGTGGTTGTACTTGAACATGGAAGAGACTGTGCTCTTCCCTGATGCGATCCCTCCCGTTAGCCCTACTATCCTCATTATCACTCAACCCTTCCCTCCTCTCTGCTTCAGTGCTTTGACGTGTCCCACATTTTTTTAGCCAGCTACTTTCCTATTAAAAGAGTAAAGATGCTAACAGCTCAACGAATTTTGAACTCTAGGCGTACCTGTCATAGTAGCCACCCGAGGCATTGACAGGGGTTCGATTCCAGGATGCCCAATGTTTTAATTTATTTCATTTATTATTAGACATTTTTGGTCCAACTCTTTAATACTTGGAATTAAAAATAAGAAAAGAAACATTGGCCTGATTGAACTCCAATGAATCCATTATTAGTACATAAAAAAAACCTAATTATTGGACAATAAGGTGTTAAAAAATCAAACAAAACTCTACCTTTTTTTCTTTTTTTTTTTTATAGCAAAAGATATTTACTTTGGTTTAGACTGAAATTTAATAGATGAATATATTATATTGGCTTTGTTATTTAAATTACAAGACAAGATTAAAGAAATGGATCTTTTAATTTCAACCAAACGAAAACATCGCGATCGTTCTGATAATCTCATCACAGAGGGTTTACTTAAGTATTATCACAATAATTCCTTTCAATTGCGTTTTGGGATTGATCAACTCCCGTTCTGCCTTTGAGAAGTCTCTTTTCTTGGGCTGATTCGAAGGGCTTGATGTGTTTGTCAATGCTAACACAACAGTCCTATCTATCTGCTCAATCTCTGCACATATAGCAGTTTTCCAACTTCTAAGAAACACGAAGGATCATTTCGATTGAACGGTTCAAATCATGCAATCCTGCTCCTAAGGGCTAAGAAGAATATTGTATGACAGTAATGAATTGAAGACATTCAAAAGCTGAAGCAAAGTTATATTTCACAACAGATGGAACACAACACAGAGTCAACACCTTCAACTTAAAGATTGAAGGTAACGACCCCAGACAATGGCAATGAGACACAACACTGAAACCAAAATGCAAACGATTACACCCGACATTATTCATTGAATGCTAATAGCTTAGATTGTGGCCCAGGTCTTCATTGTTTTTGCTTAGCGACGACCTTGGATCAAGCTGGCCTTGCTGTGATGTCAGACACCCAAGCGCTAACATGGGGGCGTGAATCAAACAGCTTCTTGGCCTGGGTCCCCAGCAAATATTGAATGCTGGGGAGGTGATGCAAATCTGTCAAGGTGAAGTAGTCAGTCTGAGCCAATCGAGTCTCATAGACATCTAGAATTTTGGCAAGCTTAGTTTCATTTTCCTCCACAACTGCAGTGTCAGTAGCCATGCCAAAAAATGGCTTGTAAACCAGCTCCCGGAATAGCTTTGAAGATGCAGGATCAAACTGGGGGGCTTCTACCTCATTCCATAATTGTATTATTGTAGGACTGCCACACTCTTATTCGAGCCAGGCAATAACAGTTGGGTCCCCTTATCGCTGTATTCATGGGCGATATATCGGGTGATTGCCTTTGATTCTGCTTGTTAAAAGTTCAGAGTTTGAAGGGGTTAAGCTAAATAGTAATAGTATTATTTTCATGCCATGCTAACAATTTAAGGGTTTCGCTCATAAAACTTTACCAAAGAGCTTAAAGTCCCCTTCTTCAAAAGCTGGAACTTGACCAAATGGCAGCATCAACCGGATGAGAAGTATTAGATTCAAAGTAGTCTCATAAACGGGTTTTGGGAAACATGGATTAATACATAAAAGAAAATGAAAAACTCTCCTTGGTTACTATGTGAGACAAGATTTGGTTGTAATTTTTGGCTTTGTGCAGTTCTGACAAATTGGGGTTTTCTGTTTCATTGGTGTTTTTGCATTTTGTTTTTCCTGAACAAATGGAAACTATGGAAAGATTGGTTTGTATGAAAAAAATTCAGTCCTCGTAGTATGAAAGAGTTGAGCTGCAGAGGGAAATCCTATTCCAAAAGGATAAAAGAAGGGTAAAAGTGGGATGGGTTTTTTCAGCGAAAACAGAGGAGATATCTGTAATCCATACTTACATTGAGGGAAAGATAGTTTTCCGAATTATGTTCACCAGCTCGCATGTTTACAGGAACAAACTGAAACTCAACCTCTTTCTCGTAAAGGCAAGCAAGAACCCTCTGAGTAGTTGTTGACAAAGGGTTTCCATGTGCTTTGATGACTGCCATAGTTGTTCGACGACTGTAACTTGTTCAAGAACTATGAGAAAAAATTTTGTGGGTTCTGAACAAGGACAAAATCGAAATCAACTGGACGTTCCTTGAAAAACCTAGGAATCTTTTTAACGTGCTGAAGATTTTCTTATTGCTTTGAAGTGGTTGTAGTAGTAGTTTTTTTTTTTTTCAATGTGAAGTAACTGTAACGTTGAATATCAGCCTGTTTTTTGGGTGCAGTATTAAACTGACGATTTTTTTTTTTCTGTTCGAAAGGGAAGGCTTAGAAATTAATTAAAAGAGAGATACAAAATAGTTCCAGCAACGTCAGCCAGGATCAAAGGCTGTTTAAAGCTAGGGTGTTCAGCATGCATGACAAAATAAGGATTCGACATATCACTACTAGAACTAGGAATACAAAAGACCCCGTTTATGGGGGGTGGTCGCTGCCCTTCCTTGCCAAAGCATCAGCACATTTGGTTAGCTTCATGAAAAATATGAGAAATCTTCTTCGACTGCAGCTGGTTTAACATAGCCCTGCAATCATAGATGAGAGGTTCCAGCAAAAGGTTAATGTTGGCCTGTGTGGTTCCAATAGATTGTGTCTTGGCCCGTTTGGTGTCGAGGGAAAGGGCTGGCAAGAAGGGTATCAAGGAGACTGGTGGGAAGATGGAAATGACCGGGATAGGACAGCAATCAAAATAGTGCTTATAAAATCTTTTTATACTTTGAAAGATAGATAGGATTATTCGTTGGCAAGTTCTATTAGTAGTAGAAAGGGTAATTATCATGGTTGCCTTCAGAAGCACCAACTGAGTTCAGACAGCAAGTTCTATTAGTAATGTTTTGATTATCAAATTCTCTTTTTTTCTTTTTAATCCAATTACGAACTTGAACCTAACCTGGCAACGACATTTATGCAAACTTTATTGCAACGTTATGTTTTATAAAATGGATCAGGCCGTGGTCTATCGGTGTAATTTTCATGAAATTACCATTATAATTTTTATATTTCTATAATTTGAAATAAGAAAACGTATAACATTTGAAATAAAGATCAAATCTAGAAAGACAGCCACATTATTTTTACATACGTAGTGCTAATGTCACGAGTCGAGACTTAAGTTTTACCTGCGTAGCTCTAAGATTTAGACATCCACTCATCCGACGTTTCAGATCAATTTATCTATCACGGTTCATAACTTTGTGAGATATTATCCGTTCTGACTCCTCTGACCTCATGGTTTTATCCTACAAAAAGCGTCTCATAAGGGGAAGATGGTGTAAACCATTTTATACTCCAGTAAACCTCTTTTTATGTTCGATATAGGATTCATGATATCTCCTTAGGTCCGTAACATTCTCCGCATCCAACCCCATGACACCTTTGTCACGGAGACTGGTTACCCTGCTTATCTCCCTTGAGGGGTTTGACGTGGTTCGAACGGTTTAAGACTAGTTTTGATATCACTTGTCACTCGTCGAGACTTAAGCTCCTACTCGCGCGGCTCCAAGATTCAGACATCCACAATTTATACCCTTGTGAGGTGTTGTTCGCTCTAATCCCTTGATCTCATAGTTTTGTCTTACAAAAAGTAACTTACAAGGAAAAAGCGGTGTAAACCCTTTTATACCTCAGTGACTCTCATTTTATATTCGATGTAAGATTCAGGACTTCTCCTTAAGTCCATGACATTCTCCTCCACTCACCCTGTGACGCCCTTGTGACGGAGGCTAGCTATCCTGGCTCCCGTGACGCCTTTGTTACGGAGGCTAGCTATTCTCCTTAGATCCGTGACATTCTTCCCCACCCACCCTCATGACGTCTTTGTCACGGAAGCTGGTTACCCTACCTATCTCCGTTGATTCTCCCCACCCACCCCGTGATGCCCTTGTCACAGAAGTCAGTTACCCTGCCTATCTCATTTGAGACACTTGACACCCCACCCACCCTACCTATCTTCCTTGAAACGCTTAACATGAGTCGAATAATTTAAGATTAACTGTGATACCATTCGTCATGGGTCGAGACTTAAGCTTCGACCAGTGCGACTCAAAGACCCGGACATCTACTCATCCGACGTCTCAGATTAACTTATCTATCACGATTCACACCTTTGTGAGATATTATTCGTTCTGATTCCTCTAATATCACAATTTTATTTATAGGTGACTCACAAGAAAAAAACGATGTGAACCATTTTATACTTCAATAACTCTTTTTATATTCGATATGAGATTTAAAACTTATCATTAAATCCGTGACATTAAGCCTTTACTAGAACATTAATTTGAACCATGTCCACAACCTTAGCCCAAGCAGACGGAGCCAGCAGATTTGTGCACCGGGAACCGACATGGGGCCTCTCATCAAAGAGCCCCTCCTCGGGGGTCTTCATGAGAGAGACTACAAATTAGGAAGGTGAGTGAGATCGGCAGAAGTGAACTTATCGCAATTCAAATAGTTAGAATCTTACGACACTTCACTAATTATGCTTCAAAGTAAAATGAGCAATTCCCTTAATATAGGATTACTATTTGAACGCCCTCTCTAGTTTTTAACTAGTGGCAATGAAATTATGAACAGGATAAATCTATTGGTTTTTTTAGTAAGCAGTTACAAACTTTACAAAAATATATTTATAATATTTACAAGTTACTAAATACATTAGGTGAATTATGGGAAAAAGAAGGTAGAACCGTAGAAGATACAATATATGGCCAAGAAATAGATAAATATAAATGTAAAAGTCTTCAGAAAGCTGCCTCTGGCTTCAGAAAGTTGTGATATTCCAGCTGAGTCATTTCCCCACCATTCACTGGGTCAAATTGACATCTGTAGAAGCTGCATTCATAATCAATTGCACTTTTTAGAGGCCCTCATTATCCCATAAATTTTGCACTTCAACAAAGACAGAAACAAGAACAAAAGGAAAAAGTAGCAGCGAAGAAGGAAAAAAAAAAAGGATTTAGTCAGCTCATGCCAAGTGAAAAGCAGCAGAGGAAGTGATGAAAACCCTAGCAAAAGAATATCAAAGGTTTTGGCCACATCAACAGGGACCATCTTGATGACACCTAGATGCTTCAAGGAAATTTCCTAAGAATAAACTCGTAAGATTTTTCACAAATTATGCTCTGACAACAGATAACTCTAGGAAAGTGGTGGATCAAAAACTCCTATGTCAAGGTCATTGAGTAATTACCAAGCTCGCTTCAAACACCTACAAGTCATAAAATACTTCCAACGCCGCCCTAAATATTATATTGTTGATTTAATAACATATAAAATTCAAATTAAACAGAAAAACTGGAAATTTTATACTAATGGATATCTCTTTTAGTATTTGTTTTTTCTTACCTTCCATCAATGCCAAGAATTACCACCGTATTCTTTTGGTGACCAAAAGCAACAATATACTGAGAACCTTCAACCAGGCGGAACTGAGCTACCGACCATTCTGAGCTAAAGTACTTGGGTAACACTCCTGCAAGCAGAAAGGTTTAGATGCTTACCATGATTGATTCCCAAAATCCAAAATGTCCCAAATACCTAATGTCTAAAAGATATATTAGACACAGTCTTGTTAGTTGTCACATTCAATTGGCTGAAGTACTTGGATAACTCTCCTATAAGTACAAAGCCAGTTTTGAAGCTCATCATATCGATCACAAAATTTTAAAACAATATCTTAAATGCCACATTTCTAGCAGCTATATTACACACTATTAGAATGCTAATTCGCCAGCTGGGTCATAAACATCATCCACCTGAAAGTTATAATTCTGTTTCTCATGCCAGAGGCGACAAGAATCTCAGAGATCAGAAAAAGGAAGATGTATATGGCAACTGTCATGAATGTTTTTATTCCATGATAGATTCTATTTTGTTGCATAAAATATAATTTTCAACAGAGAATCTCTAGCATTTGCATAATCTTATGCTATGAAAAGGAAATTAAATAATTCTATCATGTCAACTTTCATAGTGATCCAGTGACTGAAGACAGAAATTACATTGTTCAAAACAATGACAACAACAAAAGCAATGGGCAGAAGAGGACACTTTACCTTTGATAAAAGAAAGAGAGGAATGGGATGATGTAACAGGGTCGGATGCACCTCGTGACCTGTCAGTGCCTGGAGAACCAGCATTAATCTTAAGGCTGAAAACATGGACGGTTCCCTTGTCACTTGAAACTGCTAACCACTGGGCATTTGAAGAGAACGCCAAACTATAAATTTCAGCTCTATCTGCTCCCCTCCTTACCTATATTTATATAAAATAAAACTTTCAGAGTGTTAGAAAATCTAAGTGAGACATAATTATTTTGAGTTCTCAATGCTACCCAAAACCATATAAATCACCAAACCCCCTCAAAAAAAGTGTGAACATCTTATATCCGCTACATACATAATAAGAAAGACATGAGAAAGCTTAAAAGATCACAATGGCAAAAAGGTTACAATCGCCATTCATTTAATATGAACACCATCACTTTTTGCTCCCAGTTTATCACATATTTAACTCCACTTGTTAACATTGACTATTAGCTCGAAGGAATATATTTTTAGCCTTTTCAAAGCTGACAAAATCAGAAAGGAAATAAAATAGATTCAACAAACATACTAACACCCAGGTTGAGCGTTATAGAACAAACATTCTAATAGAAATTTCTGCAGATTATGTCTTTATATTACTTTAACTAAAAAGGTCCTACTCACTTTAAACATCTGTGCTAAGATTTCCACTTAATCCATAAAAATTAAACCCCATTTGCCTAATTCATGTTACATAATCAATAAAAAGGAAGTAACAAAATAGCGTTATTAGTATTAAATTACATACCTCTTGCAGCAAGCAACCATCTACGGTATTATAAATGCGAACCAGCGTCCCTTTCGTGCTCGCAGTAGCAAGCAACTGCCCATCCTGCGTTAGTGCGAAGCACGCAATTCTTGAATCATGGGCCATAATAAACTTAGTCCTCTTCGAAGCGTAATGCTCAACCCTGACCTGTCCCTTTTGCAATCCGGGACAAACCAAAACCAAAGACCCGGCCCCCTGAGACACCGCGCAGAGTCCTTTCGGATTCGCGATGGTTTCAATCTGGTGCAGCAGCTTCAAATCCGCAAAATTGTAAACGAAAATTTTCTGTTCCAAAACGACTACGATTCGATCCCTCCGAAGCCGAACTGATCTTACTTCCGAACGAAACGAAAGCTCGCCAATGCATCGACTCTGGTGGTCGTCCCAGATCATGACTTTATTAGGCGGGTATTGCGGGTCGGGTCCACCGCCAACGACAGCCAAAATATTGCACCGAAAAAGCATCTCGACAACCCCGATGCCGCCGCCGCGATCGAAATCTCGGCGAAAGATCTCGCGGAATGGATCGCAGTTGTAGATCCGGAAGCCATGGTCAATACCCGCGGCGAAGCAGCAGTGGTCCTGGTTGAAGGAGAGGTTCAGAAGAGAGGGCAGCTGCGCGGCTGGAGGAACCGCCTCGGGTGGGGTCGAAAGTGGGGTGTGGAAATTAGGGTTAGTGTTGGGAGTCGGGTTCGGCTCCGGGTCAGGGGAAGGTTGACGTTGCATCTGAGGGAGAGATTCCTGGCTTTGGTTGGTTTGTTCTGTAGGTGAGAGAAAATTAGGGTTAGGGTTAGGGTTAGGGCTAGGATAAGCTGAGAGGGTGGCCATGGAGAGATCCAGAAGGGATTATGGAGGACTCTAGGGGCCGATTACGAAAGCAATAACAATCATCAGAGCAAACGGAGAGAATAATTGATAGTTTTTAGAACGATGTTGTCCTGTTGGAAGGAGCACAGTTGTGTCCGTTTTAAGGTTATGGTGTGATTGGGGAACATATAGAAAAGAAAACAGTAGAAACTAGAAAGAAATATGTGTTGTGTTGAATCAAGGATTCGTTAATTAGAGGAGACGAATCGACAAACGCGGGAGAGTTTCGCTTCGTACCTACGCCAACTTCTTCTGGCTGCAACAGATACTATAAAAATAATAAGCAACTATGGTCTGGCTTCTGTTGCTTTTGGGTTGGGCATTGGTTTTATACGCACGGTTCTAACCACCCCTAAAAAACCTCCACTTACTCAAAGTCACTCGAAACAGCAATTCCACTCCCTTAAGTGGTATGTCCGTGACTATAAATAATTTTGAATCAGCATTATTTATCAAAAAATTTATTTGATATATTATTAATAAAATTTTTTAATAATTTTATAGAGATAAAAATATTGACATGTATCATATTTCTTAAATTTTTTTAATTTTTTACATATTATTATCTTTTTAATTTTACTTATGAAATCTAAATTTTTAATATCAGTGTATTTAATAATTTATTTATTTATTTATGTTTTTAAATTATAAATTAAAAAAATTAAAAATCATATAAAATTAAGAATATAATAATAGGGATAATTTAGTGGGGGAATCCTAACAAATAGTTGAAGAGTCGAATTTTAAGTTTGCTATATGAACTAAATTTGTGTATGTTGGCCAAAATTTTCAAGAATTGAAGTGTGCTAAAATTATTTAAGGTTAACATCATCATTATCACTAAAAAATAATTAATATTAGAAAATTTGTTGATAAAAAAAAAAAAAACAGCATTTGAGTTTGAAAAATATTCTCTAATTATGAAATTTTTTACACGAAATATAAGTGAAAATAATGACGGTGGTGTATGAATACTGATGACTGATACTCAAATGTCGATTAGGGCAACGCCAGCATTGCGTATAAATGCCCCAGTCCTTTTAGGAATTATACCAATACCCAAGTCAATAAGACAATATTAAAATGATGAATAACTTGCCTTCGATTTCAGCTAAATTATAGCAGTAGATTGGAGTTTGGACATTCATCAATATTGAGTCGACTCTGGGGCACCCTTTCTAAATGAGCATCCATTTGTTCTACCTAAATCATTTCCTATTGTTTAATTTATAAAAATTAAAAAATATATACGTGCACACACATATATATATATATAAATAATTAATATAAAAACACAAAAATACTTTGCGGACACCTACGTGTATAATAAAAAGGGCCGTCATTAAACATTAACAACATAATGTACTCACGCTTAACACTTCATCCCTAAAACCATTATATGCACATCAGGCATGTGATTTTGTTGATAATGTGCAAGTTTTGTTCAAGTCAACTGCATTTGCTTAAAATTATTAATTTCTGTTTTAATTTGAACCCAAAAACAACTTAAATATACTTTGTTATATTCCTCATTCAACAACCTATTTCGCTGTCGCCAATAGATCATAATGCATAAGTTTGGCAAACGTTATGTCATGTGTCTATTTTGGCGGTCCATTCCACTCTTTTTTTCTGGGATCAATCTTTCCAACAGTTTGAATGCAAAAAATGCCGTTTTTTCAAAAAAAAATTTCCCTTTCCGAAAATAAAAATCAGTTTTTAGGGTTTGACCACGAGAAATGAGTTATCAATGCCAAAAGGGAGTTCTAAATATATTCATAAAATTCTTTTTTATATCTCATTACTAAATATATCTCACTTTCAAAATAAAAATCTCTATTTTTTTAAATACATTACATCTAACAAAAATCACATTTTTTATACTATTTTAAGTCTTTTTTTTTCATTTTAAACCCTAAATCTCAAAGCTTTTTTGTCGATATCGTGCTTTTCGAAAATCCATTATTTAGAACTTTAAACATTTAATGAAATGTGATAGAGTGAAAAGTTTTTTTCGAAATCATTTTTTTTGTAAAATAAAATTTTGAAAGTCTTTTAAAGTTTTGAAAAATGGATTTTTAAAAATTTTAAACATGAAATGCAAAAAAAATTGAATTGTAATTTATTAAAAAATAAAATTTATTGAGATGTGAAAAGAAGAAGAGTAGTACTATTTACACCACAAATTACTATTTTCACATTTCATTACTATTAACATCTATTACTTATTATCTTCACATCCAAAATTAAAGCACAAATTTATTAAAAATTCGAAACATCCACTTCTCTCTTCACACTTCCTCTTCAATCGAAATTCTAAATCCTTTAAAGATTAAACCTTAAATCAAGTATCAGTTGATATTATATAGTTTATAATCAAATGTAAATAGTTTTTTTTTATTTTTTGTTTCATTTTGTATTTAATTTCAAAAAATTTAAGATTTTAAGTTTTATGGTATGATTCGAATATTTCAAAAAATTTCAAAATTTTTTGAAAATGGATATTCGAAAACTTTTTTAATATATCAAAAATTTATTTTCAAAACTCCTTAAAAACTCTTAGACATCCATTTACAGAAACCATAAATAAATTTTTGAAAGTGTATTTCATAAATTTCTCAATAATTTTCGAACATTCATTTTTGAAATTATTCAAAAACTTTAAAAATAAATTTTCAGTACACAATAACTTAACATCATAAGACACATTAACCTGATTATATTATCAATAGATTAACAAATTTACCAAGAATGACTTTTAATCTTTTGGTCACTAAGCACTACTCGTTAATAATATTTACAATATTGTTACAATTTTGACAGATATGCATATAAAAAAAATCTTTAAATGTGAAGAGGTACACTTGCATAAATACTTTTTTGTATTTAAAGATATCTTTTAAATGCATGTTTGTTAAAATTTAAAAAGTGTTTCAAATATTATTGAATGAATAATACAATTGAGAGATTAAAGATTTTTCTATCAAATTTAAAACAACTTATACGTTGTAAAAATTATTATAAACCTATTTGATAATCGCAATATGAGACATCCAATATTTTTATATCAAACATTGATGAAGAGATTACAATAAAAAAAATTAAAATAAAAATTATTTTTGAAAATATATTTTTAAATAATTACAATGCTTATTGAAAAAATATTTTTAAATAATTATAATATTTTTGAAAATATATTTATTGGTATAATAGTAAGTTTTCGAACATAAATTTTCGATAACTTTATGAAATTGGGTATGAAACATAAAAAGATGATTATTTGATTAGTATTTAAATATATTTTTTTAAAGTTAATTTTTTAGGATATAATCCCTCCCACTTATGGTTGAAAGCGAGATGTAAATAGCATTACTCGAAGAATTGGAGATGTGTTTAGAGCGACCCATACCCAAATTGGAAGTAAAATTACTATTGTGCCCTTACTTGGGGCTTAATTTCACCACGAAAAGAGGAAAGCTTACGTTGTACGCAATGTAGAATTGTAGATTGCCTTCTATAGTAATAATCCCTTGAAGATGAAGGAAATTGTGAAAATTCTAATCAAATGGAAATTTGATGTACGGTTAAGATTCAATGATTTGATGATCTTACTGTAGTGCCCATGACTCTCGATTCTACCAACCAATGTTGCCGATTGCCCGCGCAATTTGAAATCTTTTTCTCCACTTTTTGGTTGGATTTCTCCACTTTTCTCCCCAACCAAAAAGTGGAGAAAAAGATTGGCATTTTTTATATCCGCACGATCGAAGGAGAGAGAGAGAGACATTGGGGCGTGTTTGGGTTGGTTGATGAAGAGGAGAGGGGTGAAGAGGGGAAGTAATAGGAGGAGAGACAGTGGGAAAATGAAAGGGACATTGGGGAGGCATTTTCAGGTTGAGCTCCACCATCACCAATCATCTTGCACCACCTCATCCACTCTCTTCAGTCGGAACCTTCTAGATTCCGAACCCGATAACCCTGTCACTTCCGCTCTCGACCTCGACGCCGCCGATGACAAAGATTTCATTCTCAGTCAAGATTTCTTCTGGTAAATATTCACTCATTGGATATAATTTTCAAAATTTCTTATTTTGTTCGTTCACCTTTTTTTTTTTTTTTGATTATGGATGCAGCACTCCTGATTATATCACCCCTGATAATCAGAACTTGATGAACGGCTTTGATTGCAACCAGGTAATGTTACTAATTTGTCAACAAATATCTGGTTTGAGTTCTAAAATTGTTTTTTATCTTTAATTAATCAATTGCACAGGAAAATATTCCTTGCCCTAATTCGCCGGAGAAGCTGAATACTCACAAAGCAAGAGACCTCGACAAGGTATGACACAAATCGGTGAAAACTAGAAGTTTTAGACGGATTGGATTGTGGCTGTTGTTGAAATGTTGTGATCTCAATATTGCTCTTTTACCTTTGTGTGTGTTTGATCTCAATAAGTTTAAGTGACAGTTAAACTATGATGTTCCCATGTTGTTATGATAATTAATTCATGTAATGGTTGGGTTCATTGTGACAGAAGAGCGATTTCTCTACTATCAAAAGGCAAATTAGTGAGTGTATACATAATAAAAAATTTTGCATATTCATTGTGGAAACTGGAGCCTGGACAAAGAGCATATGGTTTCAAATTGGATCCATCCTGCATAAGGTCATCGAACATTTTTAATGACCCAAACCACAATCTTCAGTATGGTGAATAACATGGTGAAAAGTAGGAGTGTGGCTATACCTCTAACTTGAACTTTAACGGGGATGGGAAACATAGATGAACTTTAAAGATATTGTTAATAGAAATTACTCATTATTTTTGTGTGTAATCCATTATTAGTGGAACGTTTGAGATAATTGTTTTAGTTTCTCCTGTTTTCAGTCTCTGTTTCCCTAAGCAATTTGTAGTTTCTGAAAGTTCTAGAACTTATCATTACTCGATCTGTTAGCACATATTCCTGTCACAACTTTTAGGCGTAAGAGTTTTCTGTTTATATATTTGTTTATATTATATATGTAGGCAATTTAAGTGGACAAGTGTTTTCTGTCAACCCTTTTGCGATTGAATATCCCTTCTTTTCTCAGATGGTATCTTGGTAAATCCACTCAGTCCTACATTATCTGGCTCTCAAAAAATAGTGGAACTTGCCAAAGACAACTTCGATGTGGATGATGACAGCCTAGAAAAAACAGTCCTACCTGGAGTACAGAAGACCAAAAATTATGTTTCCCAATCTGCTGTTGCTCTACGATGTCGGGTTATGCCACCTCCTTGCATTAAAAACCCATATCTAAAGGATGCTTTAGAAGTTTACTCAGATCCTTTTGGAAATCAAAGATCAAAGTGCGAAGGTACATGTCTTGTTTACAAAGAAATATTCACATTTATAATATTTCTTGAAACTTCCATATCCATTTTCCTTACCCATTTGGAGAAAAAGGTTAGTGCTCTTCACATCCTAATTCCTTATCTAAAAGGTGTTAATAACATATCCCTTTAATCTGCAGGTTTCTTCCCTGCAATTATTGGTGGAGCTGGCCTTTCGCGCTATCGCACAGATTTTCATGAGATTGAGGTGTCTATCCATATTCCACAAATTTGCAGACTTTCTTGGAATCATCACTTCCAATTTATATATTAGATATCTAACCTTCAGGCTCTTGTATCCTCTTTCCTTTTGTGTTGCTTTCCAGCAAGTTGGTACTGGGAACTTCAGTCGTGTTTTCAAAGTTTTAAAGAGAATTGATGGTTGCTTTTATGCTGTGAAACATACTACACGGCAGTTGCATCAAGAAACTGAGAGGTAGCTTTCAGTTTTCTTTTGCATTTTTCTGTGCACATTGGTAATAAAATTTAATCATAAAATAATTGTTATCGATTTGCAGGAGGAAAGCCTTAATGGAAGTTCAAGCTTTAGCTGCATTAGGTATAAATTTGGGTTTACTCTCTTTTCTATTTCTTTAGTATCTCGTTTTGTTCACTTTAAGAGAAAAAATTGAATTGTAACTTTCACTATCAACACTAAATCAATCCTTTGCAGGGTCTCATGAAAACATTGTTGGATATTACTCTTCTTGGTTTGAAAATGAGCAACTCTATATTCAAATGGAGCTCTGTGATTACAGCTTGTCCAGAAAAACATCTTCCCAGTTGTTCAAAGAAGGAGAAGTATTGAGAGCCTTGCATCAGGTTAGCATTAGGGGGAATACAGCATCTCTACAAGAGAAGAAGGGGGTGGGAGTAAGAATAATGTTTTGAAAAATAAAGAGGTGTCATTCCTATATATTAGCTTGGATGGTTTGAATCACCCCGTTATGAAGTAACATCACATAATTATCCTAAAGATAATGAGAACTTTATAGTGTTGTTTTTCACCCTTCATGGTTATCAAAAGGCTAAATATATCATCAGTTTCTGCTAAGAGTAGCACCTCTCAACCTTTGAAACTTGTTATACTTTGAAGTTCAGAACCAAACAATAGTTTCCCTCTCACACTCTTTCATTGTTTCTCCTTCTACTTAGCACTTTGTACTCTTGAATGCATTCGCATCTAACACCTTTAAAGCAAATGTGTTCTTTATTTCTATCTTTTTTCTATTATTATCTTCCACTCTGATGTAAAAAATTGTGCAGATTGCTAAGGCATTGCAGTTTATACATGAAAGAGGAATAGCTCATTTGGATATAAAACCTGATAATATATATGTCAAGAATGGTGTTTATAAGCTTGGTGATTTTGGATGTGCAACTCTCCTAAATAAGAGCCTGCCAATTGAAGAGGGTGATGCTCGTTATATGCCTCAAGAAATCCTAAATGAGAACTATGATCATCTTCAAAAGGTTGATATCTTCTCTTTGGGAGTTACTATTTATGAGTTCATTAGGGGGTCACCTTTGCCAGAATCAGGACCTCAGTTTCTTAGGGAAGGAAAGCTGCCACTGCTTCCTGGCCATTCCCTACAATTTCAAAATTTACTCAAGGTATATATATTCTCTTCTTTTTAAATAGTGCTCAAAACCTTTCTTTAAATACAAGTAGATATTTTAGTTGTTTTCTAGCTGCACCTAAAGCACATATGAAGATGATTAGTCCTCATTTTCCTTCTGATATGTCAGTGGTAGTAAATCTAAAATATGCAAGGCAAAAATGCTCTCTGGTATAATTGTTCTGTTTATATTATTCTGGTTTTAGTTTTTGACTTTGTACCATGAATACTAATTTGGGTTTTGGTTTAAAATGAAAGGCATCATGCTGATTTTGAGGATCTTTGAATAACAGTGTTTTTTTTTTTTTTAATTTCTTTGAAAAGAAAATAAATAACAAAAAGAAATTCATGGGGAGCATGCCCAGCCTATTAAATTAACAAAGGATATTGTTGGCATCCGGTATTGAGTCAATTCTTTTGATTGGTTTTCTTAAAATATGAGCAAGAGCATGCTAATCAAAGGTCTAGTCTGATTAGCTAGTTCACTGATCAGATTAGTACATAACATATGACAAAGGATACATGAATTATGATTAGCTTTACAAGTGTAATCCTATCACATATCATACATTCAGATTTCAGATGTCAAACCATATACAATATGAATTAAATTGCGAACAGTTTCTCTTTGAGTCATTCTTAGCTGATCCGTGTTGACTGGAGTGATTATAGTCCCTCAGAGGTAGCTAGAGCTTTGTTGATTTCATCTGATGGTCTTATAATTTTTATCAGGTCATGGTGGATCAGGATCCAGTTCGACGGCCTTCTGCTAAGGAATTAGTTGAAAATCCAATTTTTGACAAGGTTTCAAATAATGCAAAAGCCTGAGCAAATTTATATTTATGTCTCGAATGGAGCTTGAAAGGCCTCAATTTTGACTACTTGCAATCGGCTGACCCAGGTTGAACTAAGGGAACTGTGAAACAATTGATTAATTTATGCACCAAAATTTCTCCCCATTCTGGTGCCCATTTTGTAAAGTTGGTATAAAGCCACGCTCAAGATTTGTAGTATTATATGACTAAAGCGATCTCCTGCACCAGTTTTATGCACCGAATCAACTTTCTCTAAGTGATGGTGCAAATTTTGTAAGGTTCAAGGAAAGCATAAGAAATTCCATGGTTCCTCTGATATTTTTGCACCAAAATTTCTCCTCAAAATAATGTTAGTACTTTTGAAAGACCAAGTTCATGGTATGCTATAACCTGAGAATTATTTAACCCTTAATATTCGACCATTTTTTTTTCTTTTAATGGTCAAAGACAAATTATTTTGTGGAACTGTCTCATAACCGATTAGACTTTAAGAGGCTTGCTTCTAGTTCTTGGAGCTCAATTCTCTCTGCTAGACTAGCAAGAGTGGTCGCTTCCACTTAATTATCAGCAAATGAGCCTTAAGCCTTCGGGCCCAAGCAAGCCCATCTTGAACCAAGTCTCTTCCCTTCCCTCGGATTGTTCAAAAGTTTACGAGTCAAACATGGCATCCGAAAATATGCGATTCACAAAAATTGATTTCTTATGTCGTAGCTGTTTAACGGAAATTGTTGGATTTACGCTCCGGGCATAGCATTCCTTGTACTAATATGACTCAGAAATTTTCGTTGCCAAACAAAAAAACATTAATAAATAAATCTCTTTGTAGGTTCTAGTTCGAATATTCCTTTTCGTTGTCAAACCTGTTTAATCAATTAATTCATCTTGGTATTATTAGAAGCTAGCTAGATAAAGATCCTGGATTTGCACGGTGAAGCATTTTAACTTTAGCGCTGAGTTTGTTGGACAATCCAAGAACCTACTAACAAATACACATAAGCATTAGACACGGATTAATACTAACGAATCATTTTTTGTCTCCATTAGTATACATCACTACTCCCCACTTTTCGGTTAAAATTTTGTTTGTTTTATTTATTTATTTTGACAAAAAATAATTAAAAAAAAATTCAATCAAATGGAATTTTTTTTTCAAAGAGTGAAAAAGCAAGGGGAGGTTAATACTTAACGACTCATGAGTAATTTTATATCATTATATTTAGGTCTTCAGGATGAGACACAAATTTTATTTTAGTTTAATTCACATCCATTGATTCTTCCGAACCCAATATAACGTTTTAAATGGTTCAATCCAATTGAGTAACAGAAGGCTTTGTTGCAATAATAGACTGTGGGTAAAATTATAATAGTTTACTACATATTAATTGAGATCGGTTATTACCAGGCGTAGGTTTATCGTTTTTTTTTTTATCACATTTAATCTTAAGGAATTATATTCCCTTTTCTTCCGCGAAAGAAACTTATTGGGTCTGGATGATACATTGCTTTGGATTAAGGTTGGCATTAGATCGGATTCGAGACGAATTTTGCTCGTTTCGAATCCGATTCGATTTTATGTGTTATTAAATTCGAAGTTAATTTTATTCAAAATTTTTTTTGTTTTTTTATATTTGATTTCGACCTGAAATTAATAAAATATTATTTTTTAAATATAAAATATTATTTTTTAAATATAAATATTAAAAAATATCATTATATAAATATATATAAATAAAAAATTAAATAATTAATTAAAAAATAATTTTTTTATATAATATCGAGTCGGGTTTACTCAAAACTTGAATCCGACCCGATCCGATCGGACTAAAAACTCGAATTAAAAATAAAAATTGATCTTATAAGGTCGAGTAAGATCGAAACCCGTCAAGGACGGGTTGTATTGCCGTCCCTACTTTGGATTCACTCTTTGCCAAAAGAAAAAAAACAAGAAATAATGCCACATCTCACCTGCACTAATTTATACAATTCTATTCCAAACCCTGTACATCGTTTTGGTTTGTATACATTTAAATTTCAACATCAACATCTTTCCCCAAGGTATATACTTACATTAAATATTCAAAATTTATAAATTTTAGTTTAGTATATGATCTACATAATATATTAACAATAATGATTATAGATTTAGCTCATCTTGAATTCTAGTGTCTGGCCTTTCTCTAGAGCTTACAGGCCCTACGGATGGAAATAAACAGTTATCATGATTGAATTGGGTTATTATAAATTTAATAATTTAAAATATGATATAATGACACGATATAAATAAGATACAAAAATAAAATATAAATATGATACTATTTAAAATTTTAATAATAATTATATTTGAATTTAACAAAATTAAAAATATATTTTATATTTTCGTATCGATAAAAATTATAATATAATTTTACATAAAATATAATATAAATATATTAATTTTAATATTTTATACTATACGAATATACAACCAAAAGATTTAATTTTGTATCATCTTAACAGCAGTTTAAAAATCTTTATTTTATTATACACGGAAGTTACACGCTTTGTATATATATTTATACATCGTAAATAAAAAAAAAAATCATTACAAAACCAATGACAATAAAAGAGTTTGGGGAAATGGCAACAGACAAAAAAACATTTAGATATGAGAAGAAATATACTGTCATTGAAAGATTACATCAAAATTAGTACCAAAAAAACAAAATTGCATAAAAAGAATCCTCGAGAAGTCAAAATGGCCGTCAATCAATATATGTAATGCAGGTTGGAAAAAGGTGTCATCGACATGACCCATGGGTCCGCCATCTCTAATTTGCCTATAAATTTCGTGCATCGTCACGTTGTGCTCTTCACAAACTCCCAATACCACCTTGTTCTAGAAAAATGTCTAGTGATGTTGTACTTGTCCAAAACCCCATAGAGGAAACTCGTCATGAGGAAGTTTTTGATCATCAGGACCAACCCAAAAAACAGAAAAGCTCATTTGAAAAGTTGCGCAGACACGATTCCCTGGATCTGGAATCCGCCACGGTTCCGGGCCACCATGACCGTGGCTCCCAGGTCTCCACGATAACTAAAAATTCTTGTGTAATATAGTATAATATTAGTATCATTAGTTTCTAATTATATTGAACTTTGTTTGTGAAATCTAAAGGCTTTGAAGAGGTCGGTGATCTTGCAACTAGCATTCCAAAGCATTGGTGTAGTATATGGAGATATCGGCACATCGCCTCTCTACGTATATGCCGGTATTTTCCCCAGTGGTATAAAGAACAAAGATGACATATTGGGAGTTCTTTCTTTGATCTTCTACACCATCACTCTCATCCTTCTCATCAAATACGTCTTCATCGTGTTACGAGCCAATGATAATGGCGAAGGTAGGATTAGTTTCAACTAAGCTCTGTTAGATGCCCCAATTCTCTCTCTCTCTCTCTGTTTCATTACATGCATCCATCAAGTTATGCAAAATTTTCTTGGAGAAATATATAGTTACTACACTCCACAAAGCTAATGCATATGCTCCCATCAAGTCACTCTTTGTGCATTGTAGTTTGAGATTAATACATATCTCTCATTTTTTTTATTATGGTAGAAGAAATTAATTATATATATATATATATATATTTCAACTTGATAAAAACCCTCACATCATGTCTGTTGAAGATTGAAAGTGCTATATATAGCGATTAGCATCTTAATAAATTGTAATTACAGAAAACAAATCCATTTACCTAATTATTAATTTCAATTGCCTTTTTGATTTTTGCAAACAACTGCTTGAGCAAGGATTACTATAGATTTGAGATTCCCTTGGTTTCTAGACAGAGTAGCCATCCTGAAAGGATAGTGACAAAGTTAAATGCACTTATTAAATTATATATATGTGTACCAGGAGGAACATTTGCTCTGTACTCGCTGATATGCCGTTATGCAAAGGCGGGTTTGATCCCGAGTCAACAAGCTGAGGATTATAATGTATCCAAATTTAAGCTGGAATTGCCTAGCAATCGTCTTAAACGAGCATCAAGACTCAAGTCCATGTTAGAGAACAGCAATTTTGCCAAAATTTTCCTCTTGCTCGTCGCAATGCTTGGTACTTCCATGGTCATTGGCGATGGCATCCTCACTCCTTGCATATCAGGTTTAACAAAATTTTTATATATTAATGCTTCTGATTTCTTTTCTATAATTGCTTCTTCATGAATTATTTAAACAGTATTTATCATTTGCAATTTGCAGTTTTATCAGCTGTGGGAGGCATCAAGGAAAAGGCACCTTCTATGACAGAAGGTATATATTTTGTTTTAATTTGCCTTCTTTAAACGATTGGGTGGTGAAGAATATACAATTATTTATGTAACGTGTTAAAGCCTTATTTTTCAAAATTAAATAATCAAACAGAAACTTCTTTAAGCGGTTTAAATAGATGATTTGATCTTTTGTAAACAGGTAGGATTGTTGGGATATCTGTAGCAATCTTGGTTTGCCTCTTCATGTTTCAGAGATTTGGAACTGACAAAGTGGGCTATAGCTTTGCCCCTATACTTTGCATTTGGTTCGCATTCATTGGTGGAATTGGCATTTACAACTTGTTTAAATTTGATCCAACAGTGGTTAAGGCCATAAATCCTAAGTACATTATAGATTACTTTAAGAGAAACAAAAAGGATGCATGGGTTTCGCTTGGAGGTGTCGTTCTTGCCATAACAGGTTCTATATTAACTTTTCGCTGCCTTATAATTCAATTAACTATACTTCTTAACAAAGTTAGAATTTGCACCTTAATTCAGGAGCGGAAGCATTGTTTGCTGACGTTGGCCATTTCACGGTTCGTTCAATACAAATAAGCACGTGCACCGTGACTTATCCGGCTATAATGCTAGCATACATTGGACAAGCTTCTTTCCTTCGTAAACACGAAGATTTAGTTCCCGATGCCTTCTACAAATCGGTACCAGGTGAACCAACTTGCTAGGAAATGCAATTTTTCTCGTCTGATTTAAGATTTGTTTGATTTATATATCACTAAATTTATAAATTACGCGGCTTGTTTTTATGCAGGTCCCTTGTTTTGGCCAATGTTTGTGGTGGCCGTGGCTGCTGCAATTATAGCAAGTCAGGCAATGATTTCAGGTTCTTTCTCTATAATCCATCAATCACTTTCCCTAGGGTGTTTCCCTCGAGTGAAAGTTGTCCATACTTCCACCAAATATGAAGGGCAAGTTTACATTCCTGAGGTTAATTACCTGCTGATGTTGGCTTGCATTGGGGTTACTGCTGGTTTCAAGACCAGTAACAATATCGGCAATGCATATGGTAACCCACACAACTTTGCATAAGTTATACATCTGTTCAATGTGCGGTAATGGATCATACACGCACACACATATATACATATTAGTAATGACTCTTAACATCATCTTTCTGTAGGGATTGCGGTGATATTTGTAATGAGTCTGACATCATCTTTGTTGGTTGTCGTCATGATAATGATATGGAAAACCAACATCCTTTTCGTAATTGCCTACGTCCTTACCATCGGTTCCGTGGAGCTAATCTATTTGAGTTCAGTTCTGTACAAAATTGATCAGGGAGGATACTTGCCATTGGCCTTTGCTGCAGTTTTAATGATTGTGATGTATATTTGGAACAATGTTTATCGGAGAAAATACTATTATGAGGTTGATCATAAGATTTCTTCTGAAAAGTTGAAGAACACAAATTTCACTAGAATTCCTGGACTTGCCATGTTTTACTCAGAGCTTGTACAAGGTATCCCACCTATCTTCGGGCATTATTTGGAAAATGTATCAGCATTGCACTCGGTCCTTGTTTTCATCTCCATCAAATCACTCCCAATTAGCAGGGTTCCAATTGAAGAAAGATTTCTTTTTCGAAGAGTTGAACCAAGAGAGCTCAATGTCTTCCGTTGCGTAGTTAGATATGGGTATACGGATGTGCACAATGAGCGAGACAGTTTTGAGAAGACTTTTCTAGAAAGATTGAAAGAGTTTATCAAAAAAGACACTTGGTTAACTCAAATGCAAGCTCAAAAGGGGGCAACAACTGAAAAGGATACCGAACTGGAAGATGGATTTGAACATGATCATAATGCGAAACAAGATGGAGAAGGTGAGCAAGAAGAGGTAGTGCGTAAAGAAATTGAATTAGTGGAGCAAGCATGTCAAGCTGGTGTTGTCCACTTGGTAGGTGAGACTGATGTGATTGCAGGCAAAGGAGCTGGTGTTGGAAAGAAGTTTTTGATAGATTATGCTTACAATTTTATGAAGAAAAATTTGAGGCAAACCGATAAAGTGTTTGAAATTCCTCACAACCGATTGCTTAAAGTTGGCATGACTTATGAGCTTTAGAATATTGAAGACATGAAAAACTTGCTACTGCATGCTTTGTCCGTCCTATAGACTAAAGGGGAGAAATTAAAAGTGTAATAGTCCTTGTTTTAAATAAACTCCACAAGGCAAATGGGAAGTATGTTAATTAATTATGGGGCAATATTTATATGTACTTTGAAAAGTTTTTTGCATATTGTAATTGTTGTATGTGTGCAAAAATTTTATGAATATCAATCCAAATTTATCAATTTACAAGAACAGCAGTCCATCTTTTCATAATTGAACTAATTTTTTTTTGCACCAACTTTGCAAATACTTCTCACATGAAAAATTTCTAATAACTTCTTTTTTATATTAAAAAAAATGAGTGGAATCAAATTCAATTTTTTCTGTAAGCAAAATTATATAATAATTATTGAGCAAAATAATGAAGTGTGCTATTAGTTTATTAATGTCTATAAGGTTATATATGAAAAAAAATTAACACAACCTAATTATTAATAAAAATTAGAAAAAAAAAAGAAAAAACTATATATAAGATATATATCAACAACTTCTTTAATTGGGGTTAAACCCTTCTTTCTATCAATGAAGAATATATATTAAAACTACATAAAAAAAAATTGTAAAATAATCAAATTTACTAAATATGTGCACATTATTTGACTTACGTTTAGTATTGAAATAATTGTCCTGAGAAGGCAGTTTAATTTAATCCATGTTTGTAAGAAAATTCATTTAATGTTGTTTTATTAATTTGCTTACATTTCTTTATTTAATCTCGGATATTCCAATATCATTAAAAAAAAATTGAATCATATTCTTAACTAGAATTGGGTTTTGATAATGTACGGATCCAATCTGATTTACTTTTAATCTTAAAAAACAATCACGTCACCAAAAACAATTTGAGGGAGAATTTGACTGGTTAAGTTGCTAAGTTCTTTTTCTTAATGTCCTACTCAAAGCATATTGAACTAAAAAATCGATATGGCGTTGAATTAGAAATTCAATTAGTTCCTTAAATTCCACTAAAGATATAGTACGTAGTTAAATTAAAAAGAAAAAAAAAAAAAACCCTATTTGTAAGCCGTATGACATATTAAGGAAAAAAATTTTAGACCTCCATTCATCAACTACCCATGAAACCACCGGCAGAGCATTATTTAGGCAATTACAATTGTTTATTACAAACATGGTGGTTCAAATAGTTACTTGCTTAACCAACATTTTATATCACTATTATATTTAGGTCAGCAGATTTTGAATGAGACACAAATTTTGACTTAGAATAAATCAAATTCAATCGATTCTTCCGAATCAAATAGCAATTTAAATGTTTCAATTATTGTTCATTTTTATTAATTTCTCATGTATGCTCCAATTTAAATGTTTCGATTATTGTATATATTTATTAATTTATCATGTATGCTTCAGTTGATTAATTCAAGGCTTTGTTGAAATAACAGATTGGGGTAAAATTATCATAATTTACTATATAATAATAGAGATACGTTGTTACAAGTAAGGATGTAAATTATATATTAATATTCGTAAATTATTTTGGTTTGATTTAAATAAAATTTAAAATTAACTTATTTATTATCGAGTCGAGTTTAAATTCAAGTAATTTAACTTATCAATTGAGTCGATTTCGAGTATTTTAATATCTGATTTGAATAGTTTATGGATCTAATTTAATTTTTATATTTTAAAATATTTTAATTATTTTAATTAATAAAATATCTTGAATTTAAACTCGAGTTTAAGCATAAATAATTTAACTTTTATTAAATATAAGAATCTAACATATTTTTATATATTAATTAAATCGAATCAAGTAAATTTAAGTAATTTAATTTTTATCTCAAATTGAGTTTAAATTAAAAAAATATCACTCAATTGAATTTTAACCGAATTTTGAATATTAAAATTTTGAATTGAGTTTAAATTCGAGTTTAATGTTGTATTAACTCAAACTTAATTAATTATATCCCAAATTACAAGGCATAGATTTGTCATTTTTTATTAAATTTAATCTTTGGAATTATATTCGCTTTCTATGTGGAAGAGAGATTTACGGGTGATTTGGCTACAACTGTGCCTCAGTGAGGATATCCTCGCTGTTTTGCACTAGTTTTTGTGCAAAACGCATTTGGAGCACGAATATCAAATTTTATTTATTTGACTTTTTTGGTTTAGTGGATGAATATTAATTACCATTTTTTAAATATTTTAATATTTTAAATATATTCTAGAAATAAAAATATCTTTATATTTTAAATTTTAAATTTTAAAATTTTATTTTTTTATTGTCTATTTTTATTTAAAAATTATAAAATAAAATTGTTAATTTAATATAATAAAAATATTATTTGATATATTATTATGATTTTTATTAATTTTTAATTATTTATTAACAAATTATTGTTTGACGTAAAAATAATTTAATAATTTTTAATTATTTATTTATTTTATAAATATTAAATAATTTAAAAATTTTTTATTACATATAATTTTTAAATCATTTTTTTATTTTTTTATAATTTATTTCACTACCATCATTTTTTTTTTTTTTACGTATAAATACATGTTTTATAACTTATTTTAATCTTATCATTATATTAACCAATCCTACCTCTATTATTATTTTTAACATCAATGAAATTAATTTTATCGCCCGATCAAGTAAATCCTGAGCTGACCCATGCAACTTTTGCTTTGAATTCACTCTTTGGATGATGGAAAAAATAATAAAGAACGCCACCTCTCACTTCTATGATTGCACTATTTTATACAATCTTATTTCAAAGCATATGTTTTGTGTATATTTAAATTAAACATCCTTGTCTAAGATATATATGGGTACAAAATTTTTCCTATTTTTGGAAAAAAATCAAAATCAATTTTTAAATAAAATTTATGTTATTTATCATTGAATTAAATACTTAAAATATACAAAATTTAATTTAATATACGATCTACATAACATATTGATAATCTAATATAAAATAAAAATTATCTACATGATTTAGTACGATGATATGTGTAGTTGAAAAAAAATTTACGGTGAAATGGGGTAATTTAGAAATAGCAATTTAAAATTGGGAATGGTAAATTTGTATTTTTTTTCTTATAATTATTAGTGATATACATTTAAATTTATTGGTTAATTTAATTTTTATATAATTTAATTTAGTTTTATATTTATTTAAGATATTTGTTTGAATATTTTTGTATTGATTTTATATGAAAATAATTTTAACATAAGCTTAAGTCATCTTTAGTTCTTGTGCGTGGATTTACACGCTTGAGATTGGGTTCAATGTCATTTTAACATTAGTAATTTTAAAAATTTGTATTTGATGTATTGTTATAAATTTTATGTATCGATATTGAATTAGATGATATCATCATATTAATAAGATAAATCAAATGATATAATCTAATTAATTAATTTTTAAAAATTTTTTTATATTTACTTTAATTATTAATATTCACTTATTAATGAGATATTATCATTTAATTTATTGACAGTTTATAAAATTTATACAATAATAATGTATTGAATTTAAATTCATTTAAAAATTATTATTTTATTATACACGGAATTTACACGCTCTATATATAAATGCACTTTGTAAAAGAAAATTCATTGGAAAACCAATGACTTTAAGAAAGGGTTTGGATAAAAAAAAAAGTTTGGGGCACGAACATCTTTGACTTTTACTAGCCAACAAACAAAAAAACATCTTTGACTTCATGATAACGGCATCAACAGACAAAAACAAATTGTATAATATCTTTGAAACATAACATAAAAAGAATATTCCTCAATAAGTCGAGAGGGGCCGCCAACCAACATATGTAATTCAGGATTGGAAAAAAGTGAGATTCACAGTGCCCGTGAGTCCTCCATCTCTAATTTGCCTATAAATTTTGTGCATCATCACGTCGAAGACATCCCATAGCTGAACAACCCTTGATTCTTGAGTCATGGCCAAACCCTTTCATATTCTCAAACCTTTCTCTATGTGACAGAATTGGAATCAAGTAGATAGAAAGAAAAAGGAAAGGGGGCTTTGATGCTTTCTTGGTTTTTAATTATAAATTTGAAGCTTTCCTTTGTTTGTTAATTTCCACCTTGGTCTAGAAAATGCCTAATAGTGTTGTAAATGTCCAAAGCCCCATAGAGGAAACTCATCATGAGGAAGTTTTTGATCATGAAGGCCAACTGATCAAAAAAAAGAAAAACTCATTTGCAAAGTTGCACAGATACGATTCCCTGGACCTGGAATCCGCCAAGGTTCCAGGTCACCATGATCGTGGCTCCCAGGTCTGCACGATAACTGAGAAGTCATACGTAAATTTCGTATAATTAGTATCATTAGTTAGTTTTTTTTTTTTTTTTGAAGGGTAAGTGATTATTATATACCTTTTCCAGACTGATCCAACCAAACTTATTTACTTATTATATTGAACTTTGTTTGTGAAATCTAAAGGCTTTGAAGAGGTAGGTGATCTTGCAACTAGCATTCCAAAGCATTGGTGTAGTATATGGAGATATCGGCACATCGCCTCTCTACGTATACGCCGGTATTTTCACCAGTGGTATAAAGAACAAAGATGACATATTGGGAGCTCTTTCTTTGATCTTCTACACCATCACTCTCATCCCTTTCATCAAATACGTCTTCATCGTGTTACAAGCCAATGATAATGGCGAAGGTAGGATTAGTTTCAATTAAGTTCTTTTAGATGCCCTGATTCTCTCTCTCTGTTTCATTACATGCATCCATCAAGTCATGCAAAATTTTCTTGAAGAAATATATAGTTACTACACTCCACAAAGCTAATGTATATGCTCCCATCAAGTCACTCTTTGTGTATTGTAGTTTGAGATTAATATGAATCTCTCATTTTTTTTTTTAAGGTAGAAGAAATTATATATATATTTTCAACTTGATAAAAACCCTCACATCATATCTGTTCAAGATTCAAATATATAGCGTTTAGCA